TTGGGATTCGCATGAAATTCTCGTGTTATCAAATTGTCGAGCTCTTTTGAGTTCGTCGCATGCGCGAATGTAAGTCCGGTGAGCACAGTGTCGGCCACTTCCGGAAGTGAGGTTGCGACACCATTGACGACGGAACCTGAACTGTTAGCGGTTTGAGTCTGCCTGAGTATAAACGTGAAATTGAAGTTCAGTTCATCCTCATTCGTCAGGCGCAAAAGGAATGTGGGCGCTGATGCAGATGAGGAGAGATCCGGATCCTGTAACGAGACAGCAACCGAGGACTTGTCAGCTGAAAAAAACAAGGGCTTATAGAGGGCGCGACTCAAGCCATTATGGCTCCAGCACCTTACCTGTATATACTCAATAGGACTGTCGTCACCAACTTCACGCTTCGCAGTATATCTCGTGGCCGGGAAAGAGTTGGGAGTAAGATGCAGGAATATCCGTCCTCGAGAGTTGCTTATCGTGGCGGACGAGATTGTAACTATTGCTCATTCGAAGCAATTAGCAAAAGAGCAACAGAGAGTTACGGACCGTCGACGACTTTAATGGGAAAAAGAAACGCAGGAGGGAAATAGTAGTGTTGGACACTTACACCTTGTTTGGTCTTTGAAGAACAAGTTTCCAGAGTCATCGAGACGACTTCCAACATTGCCCATAATGAAGACGATGAATGATTCAAGTCACCACTCGAAGAAGAGACGGTCCGAAAGGATGACTGGGCCAGCTGGAGGTCACCATCGACGGTCGGATTGGCATCAGTTTATAGCTGAAGCAACGATAAACAATCGGCAACCGAACGGAAAAGCCGTCATCTAGTCTGAAACTCCACTCAAACGTCTTCAGGGATCTCGTGAGCCTGAAACCACACAGATATAAACTGCTGTACGATGGAAGAGTTTTTGAGAGGTAGGTCGCGATCGGAGAACACGAGCCGTTGTGTGGAAGCAAAGATGGTGATGGTCAACCTGACAGCGGGCGCGATCCCCGGTTTCTGAGATCCTGCTGCGCTTGGTTCGCAGGAGGCACCGAGTCGATTCGGTGGACTAGATGAAGACGTGAACAAATAAAGAGGCAGATGATATGAGAAGGAGAAGCTGACAAGCAAGAAAAGAGGCTCCAAATCGGTGCCTGGCGAGAGCAGCAGTGTGGGTAATTGTGGAGGTTGAATCGGAGGTTTGGCGCGCGGAGGAGGGGAAGAAGAACGTGGGAAGGATGCGATAATGATATGTTCATTAAAGCACAGGAATATAAGTACAAATTTCCCCCGCCTGGCACAGACACCAGTGTTTCACACAACGGTCTATCTGTCTACAGGTTACTCTTGAGGGCAGAGGTGACCAGCTGGTGATTTCAGCTTGATATTTTATTTCTCCCAGAAAATATCATGACTGCCTCAACAGACACAGATAATAATACGACGTTTTACCAAGAGAAGCCGTTCAGCACTGACTGGGGATCACGCTGGAGGCTGCGTCTGCAGGAGAGCTGTTAAATCCCCAACGCGTGATCCTCAACTTCTTCTTGTTGAACATGGGAGCATGACGCCGACAGTGAGATTATTTTGCATACAGGAAGGATCACAAGAGCGATATCCAGGCTTTGCCTTCAGATATTTCAGAATGACACTCTGAAACCGACTCCAACAGAATCCGGCTGATCCTTCTCCTGCAGATCCAGAAAGCCTTTCACAGTACTTCGTAGTTAACTCATAGAGAGACATGGGAGGGAAAAAAAGAGCTCCTGCCAATCAGAGCATCAACAGAACTTAATAAATTACTTGCTGAGCTATCCATTCTCCAACGGAGGGGTATCTAAGAAAGAAAACAGGCTAATTCTAGCAGACGCCGCAGAGGAGTGTATGAGAGTTCCCACAACCGCTGCTCGAGTGCGTCACATAGATAATGGTAACAACAACAATAATAACAACCAGGGGGAATCACAAATGCATACTGCGCAAACATAAGAGGCCATAGGGATATTTAAGGACTCGCCCGTGCTCTCGTCCCAATCAAAAAAGAAGCACGTATAAATAGAAACAGGTGTTTCTTGATTACTGACCATGGAACGCTGCCAGAGTTTACCACACCAGCTTATTGTAGGGCCTCCGATGGCTGATGCGATGAGCTGGTATGGCCGTTGTGGTTTGTTGTAATGTCTTTGTGTTCATCCCCTTCCACCCATTTCATGACCTGGCCTTTGACGTCGCGCATGTCGTGCACTTTCTGGGCAAGGTCTCCTCGTTTCTTGGACGAGGCACCGCTTCGTTCTACGAGCTCCTCTTCATCTGAACTTGAGATGGACAGCGATGAACTGCTGCGTTGTTGAAGGAAGGCCATTTGGTCCGCCTCTTTCTTCTTAAATTCTCTCTGCTCAGCTTTCAGCTCCGTCATTCGCTCAGCATCTTCCTGGCAGTCCAATGTGGTAATATGGAGGCCAACAAAGGTCCCAGAGAGGAGATCCTTGAGCAGTGAAAGATACTTGCCATTGGGACGATAAGTACCGCTGTCATTGTCGATGAAGAGCTCATAATCGCCAGGGTCTATTGATACCCGTGTGGTAGCCTCGGCCTGGGGCCCTTGGGTTGGAATCTCAGTCGCTGATGGCTCTGCACAGGAAGAATGACGACGATGGCGGTGTTTCAGTCGACGAACAAAGAACTCTCCGGAATACGCGATGTAGATCGAGACATTGCTGTGCATGGTGTGTTTGCTTAGCAAATCAATTCCAAATTCCTTTCCTGTCTCGGTAAATCGGAACAGTCCGTCGAGGGTGAGGATATAAGTGAATATACGGCCGCCCTGAGCATGGTGAACAAACTCAAGAAATTTCTGAGTGAGCTCGGTACACGGAGCTGCGAATTTACCATAAAGAGTTGCCCGATCAAAGTTGTAGATTCTCTCATGCTGATGATGGAGAGCCCGATTGAGGATACGGCCGCGGAGACTGTGCGACGTGAACATACCCGCCACAAAGGGTTTGAATTCGACATAGCGATGATATAATTCAGCGGGTACAGGGCCCTTTAGCTGTATCTGAATGGCTTGGAAACTTAAGAGAGGCAAAAATAAAAAGCAAATAAGCAATCTACGTCAAGAGCGCCCGGGTCCGAGATACACGTACTTGTAACGGCTGACTGTCTTCTTGCCATCCGAGCTTTGCACTTCGTCTTTCGTCCCTGTCAGACGCCCGATCAGGGGGGAAAAGTGTTTAAACCAGTAGTTTGGCCCGACTGTGTACATATGTCCACCCTCCTCACCTGGGGTCTTACCCAAACACTCCACACTGATGACAAGATGTGAGCCAAGGTCGAGACGTCGCGAGGCGAGGGCGGCGATATTGCCAAACAGGTATACGCGCTTGCTGCCGAGTCGTTTCTTGACCCGAAAAGATTGCTCCTTGAAACCAGACCAGTGGTCATCGATACGGCCGACCTCGACGTATGCGATGCCCAACTTATCATCATGGTCGGCAGGGTCCTCATCGTAGACATGGCACTTGAGCTCGAAGCCGGACGCAGGAACATTCGCAACGATCCACTCGCTGTCCCATACCGGGTCTCTGTTCTTGCGCACTGTCGGCGTTCTAAAGGTTACAAGGGGGTCCTGCTTATGCCGCTGGGGAAGGTCGACAACCAGCTGAGCTCTCACGTAAGGATCAGACGAGAACGTGCCGAAGTCCGCACATGGAAGGTTGATGCCGCGATGAAAAGTGAACTTCAGGGTGTAACCAGGGGGCGCATGAGGAATTGGAGTACTGTCGAAACCCCCCGCGGGCTTGTGCTCGCCATTGGTTGTGACCTTCATTGCGACGGCTCGATCATGAAGTCTTTCTGTTTTATCAACAAATTTGGGGCCATACTTGTCCAGCGCATGTCGCGGACGTGCTGATGGCGGCTCGGTTTCATCCTCCATGATCCGGGAGAGCTAGAAAAGTTATGAAGAGTACTCCGTTCTGTTTTACACTATTTTATTATACTTGCTGCCTGCAGCACTTGGTCGAGTCAGCTCTGAAGATGCGGGACGATGTGGGCACGAGATCTTGCTCTTGTCCTGTCGTAGGGCTGAGTGTGTAGAAGACAAGTCAGGAAGCAGGTAAAAGGGAGAGAAAAGTGAGAGAAGAAAAAGGAAGAGGAAGCAAAAGTCGCCTTTTTTTTTTTTTATTAGTATTTGCTTTCAAGTCATTTCACATACAACCAAACCTACCTTCAACAGAAAATGTCAGTTCATGATGGATGATGACTTCCCTTGTTATTTTTCCATTTTCCCCTCAGCCGGCGGCAGGAACTTGGTTCCAGGGCGCTGCAAGCCTACATCATCGCGCCCCTCCTTGGTCCTAAGTTCTACTACGTAAGTAGTTCTAACTACTTTTGACTCCTGAACAGCAGAGAGGGTGCTCGGATCTTCTCGGATGGTCTCGGATGGGTTGAGGAAGGCCAAGCTTCTGTCGTTTTTGGAGGTTCTTGGAGATCTTCTCTTCTCGTCATAAACAAACAAATAATACACTTCCATACGGAGGAGTACTATTATCTCCTTGCGAGTGGTCTGTACTAGCGGTCATGATTTTCGCCTGACTATCCATCCATTGTTGTCAACACACAGCAACAGACCTAAAAAGGAGGGGGAAAAAAAAGGTAGGTGCGGTAGTAAAGTCGATGAGCGACATACACTTGTCAAAACACTTCTAATTAATTGGATAATACGATACCATCTTTTTAAATTTCTTAATTTTTCTCAGTTTKGGTGGCAGTCGAGCTCCAGCATCAACTGAGACCAGCTCAGAAGACGTTCAGCATAGCAAGGACAGCCTAGTACAATAGGAACATAAGAAGACGGAGAAGACACGAAAAGTATCGGCCAGCGAGAACCGCAAATTCGCTTTCCTCGAGTAGGATACCGCAACGCGTCGAGCATAGCAATAATCTCATGAGCCAAGCTCTTTCCAGCAAGCTGCGCAGTAAATTAGCTCGCATGATGTATAATCTCAGGAAAGAGGACAAATCACGATCCGCGGAACAGGAACTGCATATCTTCCGGAGTGAGCTTTTCCAGCGCCTCCCCCTGATCTTTGTTCAGCGTGCCGTTGATGAGATTTGCCTTCTTCTCTTGCAGCAATACAATCCGCGATTCTACCGAATCCTCAATGCAGAGCCGGGTTATGACACAGGGCCGGCGTTGACCAATACGATGGCACCGGTCTGCGCTTTGCCATTCGGCAGCTGGATTCCACCACCTGATGGATTGGCGTTAGTACAAGACCCTGATCAGGTATGTAGCAAGATGCTCGAGCGGTACTTACGGATCGACGATGAAAACTCTTGAGGCTTCGGTCAAGTTCAGAGCGACACCCCCTGCTTTCAATGAGACAAGGAAAACCTCTACATCGACATTATTCATGAAATAATCAATTGATTTCTGACGCTGTGCAGGCGTCATCGTCCCATCCAGCATGACGGTGTTGAAACCAGCCCGGCGAAGACGCCATTCAACAAGCTGAAGCATCGAGGTAAATTGCGAGAAAACGATGGACTTGTGAGTCTGCTTCTGGCTCCTCAGTTTGTAGAGCTCGTAAACAAGCATTTCAATCTTCGTCGACGACGTCCAGTCCTCCATTCGGATGCGATTAATGATGGAGTTCTTCTTGATGTGTTCCGCCTCCTGCTCAATATCTGGCTGCTCGAAATCAATGGAGAGAGGGATGTGACAACGAGGACAATCAACGACGCTGTCTGCTTCAAAGGACTGGATGTAATCTTTGGCACAACGACGACAAAACTCATGGTGACAACGAGATCGAATGGCCTCTTCCGCAGGCTCATCACAGATACTGCATACAAGGACGTTCTGTCCACCGGCAGCATGCTTCTTTAGGATTAGGTCTGGATGATTCGCAACCTGCCGCATCTGCATGATCAGACCGAAGATGTTGGCGTAGTTGTTCAACATCACACCTCGGCTAACGTATGTATCGAACTGCCTTGTAGAATTCGTCATAATGCTCCTGGAAAAGTCTCGTTCAATTTCTCCGAAAAACTCGTTATGCAGAACTACGCGTTTCGGAGGGAGCTCCATTGAAGCTGTGTGATCGCGCTTGACTCGTCTCAGCATGATCCGGTCGGTGATCAGGCGAAGTTTGGACAAGGCCTCCTTGCGGGCTTCTGGATTGTCTCGTTCGGTAATGGGATTAAGGATCTCCTGATTGAAGACTGATACGTGGCTGAATCCACTGTGCTTGCAATGGCTACAACGTTTGTCCGCGTCCTGGGACCAATGAAGTTGCTGACATTTGCACTGCTTGCAGAAGTAGCACGCAAATGGGCGAACTTCGAGGAAGCGAAGAAGAGAGAAGAACTCGCCGATTCGATTCTGAACAGGAGTGCCGGAAAGACACCATTTATAAGAGGCTTTAAGGGCAAAACATGCACGTGCAACACTGGTAGTCCGTTGCTGAGAAGTATTAGCAAAAAAATCAATTGTACAGTCCAAAGGTCTCGTCAAAATACCTTGATGCTATGCGCTTCATCGAGGATAAGGCGGTGGTAGTCAATGGCATGAATGACGCCTTCTCATTGTCAGTAAGCCTTTCTTTGCTGTACTAATTTGTCGATAGACTCACTATCTTCTTTCACGATCCCGTCGTTGCGGTTCCATCCTTTCCATTCCTTTCGATGAATGGATTCGAGGCCGGAATCTACAACCGATATTAGACCGAATTCACGCTTGCAAATTTCATAACTTACAAGAGATCATGATCACATCATAAGACTCAAGGTCTTTCTTGGTCAGGTGTTTGACCTTGGCATTGGTATTGTGGTACACAAGGACATTCAACTGGCCATTCGTGTATTCCTGAGGTCATAGAAATTAGGGCCGTAACTATAAGTTCAAACACGCAGAACAGACGTACTTTGATTTCAGACTGCCATTGCATCAGAGCAACCGGTGGCACCACAACAAGCGATGGTTTGCCGACGGGATAGTCAGACATGAGAAGGGAGACCGCCTGGATAGTCTTTCCCATGCCCATCTCGTCACCCAGCAAACCACCTTTATATTGACTTTTCTCTTGCTGTGACATCCAGTTCAAGCCCTCGAGCTGGTACGACTTCAGCGTTCTCGAAATGCCCGGAGGCTGTTCTGCTGGTACCGGTGTAATAGGCGGCGTGTTCTTTAAGTCGTCCCACATTTTTGTGATGAGAGGATGTTGCCTTTCAAGTTTGCGTCGCTCTCTATAAGCCTAGATACTGCGTTAGAGCACCGTCATATCGGATGAAGCGAGCAAACTTACTCGATTACTCATCCAAGGTGGAATATTAGTGCGTCGTTGGTTTGCAGAGGCCCTTAATGCTTGCCTCCGCGCTCGCGAGCCTGTACTGGCATTTGCTGTGCCAGAGTCTCTTGCCCTTTCGGCAATTAAGGGTTCCTCCTCGCTACTAGACGACGGAGGACCGTCTGCTTCCGAATCAGTTTGATAGTTGCCATCCCCTGCTTCATCATCACTTAAGTCAGAGACTTCGCTGTCCGGAATGGTTTGCTGCGTTGTCGACCGCCGAGAAGTCCTAATACTGCGCTTTGGTCGCCAAGGCTCAAAGTCCTCTTCATCCTCTGCATCCTTGAACCCGTCAGACTCGAGGTTCTCCAGGAGGTCATCATCCTCAGTAGAATCTTCGATCTCCGGGGTGTCACGACTCGCGCTCGCGGCAATCTTCCGACGCTTGGAAAAGGATTCCTGATATTCTTGCATTTGCAGAGCATGAGCCAAAGCCTCGTCTGAAGTTCCCAGAGTCGAGGCATCCGGGGATAGCGCTGCGGCGTTCCTCTTAAGTCCTCTTTGCATGCTACTGAGGGGCATTGTCCTTGAGCGTAGTTCCCGAGCTCGTGCAGAAGCATTAACTCTCCTCCTGGGCTTATTCACATCTGACTCGGCAGGAGTCATCGCAACGCTAGTTGCAGGAGTATCATAGTCGTTTCTTCCTTCGCCAAACGTGTCTTCCGAGGAAGAGGAAGAAGAAGCACACGGAGGTGACTGCTTCTTCACGGGTATAGCAACTTCGACAGAAGTAGAGACAGAGCTCGACTCAATCGACTCCAAATGATGCTCTTCATTTTTCTGATTAACCCTGTGGTCACTCGGACGGTCGGTGGTGGATCTGGGGTTTGACTGTGCTAATCGCAGGGAGGTGCGTCTCGGCATCGATGATCGCCTATCTTGAGGCACTGAAATCGATCATTAGCCCTATAAATGACTGTGGTGGACACAACTGTAGTAGAAAGCTTTCCATCCTCGGATTCAAAGATGAGTAGCATGTTTGGGAGGACATGTAGCATGGAAGCGAGAGCACTTACTACCAGCTGGCATTGTTTCTTTTGCTGCGGAAGTCCTTCTCCCCATGATGCCAGGATTTCGATGATATACCAAATGAGGCTCCTGATTTCCTTGTCAAAAGTAGGATCCTGGATGATTGACAAACCGGAGTTTGCCCCTGGTACCTGATCGAAAATAAAAATGTTGGTGGCAAATATGGGCACCGTTGTTATGGAGCTTCGGTCGGAAAAGGGAGGCAGCAGTGTTGGAACTTTGGGAAGATTTGGAAAATTCTTTCACAGCTCGACAGGAACACGGCCTGTGATTCACAGATCTGTCACTACCCCTCGTATACGACTCTTGGCGAGTGCAAGTAAACTCCTTTCATCAAACTTCTTCTGTCTCTCCTACTTCTCACCAGGTCCAGATAATACAGTCTTTATCCAGGAAACGCGCTGATAAGGACAACACTGAAGTTCGCGTAAAGTGGAACACGAAATTACCACGAGTCCTGTGACCTGAAGCTTACCAGACCTGCATCAATCATCTTAACGCCACCTTAAATCAGGTTATTATTAAAGTGGTTCTGCATGCAATATGTACGTTTCGTTCATTCTGAGGTTTTCGAGGCTTTCATTTTAACTGTTTGCAGGGCGGAAAGAAGGTCAACAAGGAATCAGATAAGGGGCCCGTACGTCCTCGACCCTTTTTCCCATCTGCCTGGTCGATCTCGCTGATTCATGATTTTGCAGCCATTCTGCGCTCACTGATTTCTTAGCTGTGAGTGACTCATTCTTTTAGCATCAATAAATGACCAGGTCCGTGCTGACACTTGATTGTCTAGTCCAACAACATTTCCGCCGCTCAGATTCATCAAGACTACCAAAGACGAGTGAGACAAGCCGAGCGAGAAGCGGTTGCGAGTGAACCGGCGGATGAGATTGAGGAGGAAGATGAATATGAAGACAATGACGGCGAAACGGCCGAGCAGAGAAAGAAACGCAAGCGAAAGGAGGCAGCGACACTCGCAAAGATCAAGCAGAGCAAGGAGTTCGCTCGCCGCAAAGCCCGCCGCACTGGGGATCCCGATGATGACGACGATGTCATTGCTAAAGAGATGATGTACGAAAAATCCCGACCTATACCAGGCCAACTTGAGAATTGCGAGCTGTGCAGTAAGCGTTTCACGGTCACGCCGTACAGCAAAACCGGCCCCAATGGTGGTCTCCTCTGCGCCAAATGTTCCAAAGAGGTAGCGGATGATGAAAGAAAGTCAAAAGCTAAGAAGCGAGGGTCGAGAAGTGGTCGGCGGCAGAATCAAAGCAACTTGCTCGACGGAATCGTGCAGCAAGGTGCTCTCAGTTTGGTCGAGATGTGTGCAAAGGTGAACATTCTTGAGCAATCCTTCGGTCCATCTTGTTCAAGGCTGACTGCAATCAGAAAGTTGCTGATAACCACAACGACATCGAAGAATTTGGGGACTTACCGTCACGGTTGCTTCAGCGCCTTAGCCAGATATTTTCCAAGAGGCGGATTCTTACATCAAGGACTTTAAACTTGTTCCTACGGCCTGAATTGAATTTCATTGACATTTACGATGCGGCTAGTATGTCTCTACTTGTTATTTTCAGGTTCTCAACGTACTCACTTGTCATAGAACTCGAAACGGACGACTTTCACAAAATATTCGCTATTATGCCGGCCCTGAGTCGTGTCAATCTCCGATTTGCGGGCCAAATCAAAGACAGAGTTGTTGAATACATGATTGACCGGGATCTTCAAGTCAGGCAACTGCAGTTAGATGCCGCTAACCTTGTCTCTGATGCTTATTGGCGGCGGCTCTTCCAGAAATTGGGATCTCAGCTCGAAGGGTTGAAACTGTCGAATCTCGATTTTTCCTTTGATGACGAAACCGTGGAGACACTGTGTAAAAACTGCACAGCCCTCAAAAGACTAAAGCTCAAGCAGTGCTGGAAGATTGGTAGCAATTCTGTACGGGCAATTTCAACTTTACCAACCCTTGAGCACTTGTCTCTCGATACTGTCCAAGAGTTGGAGATTGAACCCGTTTTACAGATGATGGATACGCTTGGCCCGAATCTGCGCACACTGTCCTTGGAGGGCTTCCGCAACGCTGATGACCGACTTTTGGATCTTATTCATGACAAATGTCGGCTGCTCTCAAAACTTCGTTTTTCAGACAATGCTCTGTGTAGCAACAGAGGCTTTGTCAACCTGTTCACAAATTGGGCCAATCCTCCCTTAAGATTCGTGGATTTGTCTTCCACGCGAGACGTGGATAATGCTAACCCTGATGGGCCTGCCGAGGCAATTGGACTCGCGTCTCAAGGGTTCATTGCGCTCATGAACCACTCAGGCTCGGCCCTTCAGAAACTGAACATCTCATCGTGCCGTCACATATCGCGTGCTGCTTTCGAGGATGTGTTTTCAGAAGGGAAGACATACCCATTCCTGCAGGAGCTGGACGTATCCTTTCATACGGTTATGGATGATTTCCTCATCGGTAAAATATTGCAAGCTTGTCCAGCGATCAAGAAAGTTGTGGCCTTTGCATGCTTCAATGTGCGCGACGTCCGGGTTCCAGTTGGCGTTGCATTGGTTGGAGGTTTAAAGGCCCAGCACTCCATTGTCGTTGAGGGCCCAGCGTCTGGTTAGTCCGATAACCTAGACAAAAGACTTTCCAAGCACAACGCCTGAAGCCAAAGCGATGAGATGTCTGCTTTCCTTGTGACTTAATGAGCGTGCTTAACCAGGCTTTCGCCTCTGGTCTTTTCTTCAAGCATTACAGTTTACATTATATTATAGCTTGCTGCTTGAAGTGTTTAACAACCTTGCAAAGAAACTCTACTTAGCCCATATTGTCAATGGAGCACAAGCCAGCGATATCATAGTAGGATGCGCTCCGTCTTTCTCAATGACATGATTGATCAAGTCCCTATTTTGGATGAAGCGAACGGTGAAATAACATAGCGTCAAAAAGCAAATCAGGGAGGTGTCTTTTGGAAGCCGGTTAGACCTCCGTCTGAAAGTCGAGCAACGTGTCCATTCCAGAGCTGAAGACTGGTATCGTTAGATGTTCGAGTGGCTCTTGACCATAACAGTTGATGCAGGTAATATTTGAGACGGGATTTCGTCTACTTCTATCTGACCTACCTACCGAGATATCTCGCCTTCGCGTCGCCAATATTCGTGCCGAAGACGCTGCTTTCTAGCATGAAACCCGCCCACTTTCGTGTCCAAACGATCAATGACTTTGTCGAAGCAGGATATAGTCATTCTGGATATTTCACGATTGTCGTTACATTAGAAAAGCTATAACGAGGCGAAAGCTGGCAATTGGCTCCACACATCGAAAGCTTTGGTCAGACCACACCGTAAAGGTGTCAGAAAAGTATTTCGCTGACCTCCAGAAGAAGATTAGGATCGCTTAATGAAAGCAATCTCATAATCATAGAGCGGCAATGTGATCTGCATTATTATTGTGTTAGATCAGTCTGCTTGCACAATCAAACTAATCCATGTTCATGCTGGCAATTCAGTGAAGTATCCATGATCTAGTGATAAGAGCTATTGACGTATGCTACTTTGAAGAAAGCGCATGTGCATAATGGTTGCATCTGATTTGAGAGATTCCCCCGGACTAGCCCGGGGTGCCTACCTTAAGTAAGGTAAGGTACAGTGCTTGGAGCCTAGTAACCTTAGTTACTCAGATAGTACCTTGGCCAGATATCTAGGTATGTCTGCGATGCAGTATCAGTACACTACCCGGAATACCTACGGTATCTTAGTACGGATACTACTCACTACAATCTAAGGTAGTGGCGATCTCGGGCTAGGATTGGTACCTACAGAGTACATTTATTATTACATTCTCCTCAAATATGCAGTCTCAATATGTGATCAGAAGTTTCGTTGGAAGCGGTCTTGCTTTAAGTTCCATTAAGATGATCAAGTTCACCACATCATCACTGATTTCGTGTTGATTACGGAGGTACATCGACGATCATTGCTCGGCCCCAGTTCGAAGGGATCTGTTGATTGCCTGCTATATTTGGCATGGCTTAACTTACAATTAAACAACCTAGAAAGGTACTAGATGCGTACCTTACGAGTCACAATTATTCCATAAAGTAAGCTCCACACTCCCATCTCCCAAGACGCCACCGCGAGTCACTGATAAAATCTAGGTAGACTAAATAATAATAATACAGCGGTTCGGTACCTTACTGCTTAGGTAGCTTCTCACTCAGCGCCAAACGTTCGCCCGATGTAGTTGATCAGTTTATTATCAGGATTCAACGCTTGACATTCCGAGTAAGAAATAATGATCCCTCATGCAGCTCGCCCTCTGTTTACTTCTGATACACTTCTCTAAGCTGCTAGCTGTTGAACGAGGTCATACAACATTGCAAGGCGGGCAACCTCTCTTACAAGTGAGAGCTGAATCCAATTGACCCTTAGCCCCTTTGCTGGGTTATCTCTTTCCGCCGCTTCTTTTTATGCCGATGGGACATGATCAATGCTGGAGATCCTAATGTCAACAGCCACGCATCTTTCTTGCCCATCCACCTCATTCGGGGGCGAAATCCTCGAGGGCGATATTTTTTACCACAGCTTTGTTCAGAGTCTTTGAATGATCGGACATGATCTCAGAATGATCCCAGTAGGCTCATCTTCTACCTCGCAAGAATCTGCCCTTAATAAATGATTTCATCTCAAGTCTGTAAAGGTTCAATGGTTGATGAGCGAGGGTGGAACCATATTCCAGGATATCGGAATGCGCAGTTCTCCAAGGCCGATAATCCTGCACCAAGCCCTGTTGATGGCCATACCTTAGTATTGGAACTTGTATGGAAAACAACTCCGCTACCTAGAGAAGCAGGCTGGAAATCAAAAGCATGGAATACTTGGCGAATATGGAGCTGGGAGCAAAGAGTACGCTGACTCGATCCAGTCAAGCAGGTACACGGTACTCAACCACCTGATTGAAGAGCATCCCCATTGGACTCAACGGCATATTGCTCAAAATTCGACGAACCCACGACAGATGCTAACTTATGTGGAACCCTGAAAAGGGTACCTGCCGATATTGACCTCTCTAATTTGTAGGCCAGGTTCCCTTCTTGCCTGTTTCTCAGGTAGCTATATGAGTCTAAATACTATCACTAGATTCACTACAGTATCTTCAGACTGTGGTGGGTCAGAGAAGGCTAGGAACGTACTATTAAAGCCAAATTACCTTAGGCACGCCATACACAGTATCGTAATTCGTACGTTAGGCAGAAAAACTTGAGAGGTAAGGTAGATGATTCGGGATGCAAAAGCACGAAACCGCTGCATCTCTCTATTATCAACTTCTATGTCACTCGAAGCTCTCAAGTTCTGTACCATACTTTATCACCTCTTTTTCATGTTATATTTCTGAAATACAAGCTAGAGCCGAAACCATGGTAAGATTTTGCCAGGTACCTAGGTAATGTAAGGTACGGAGTAGCGGATAAATAGGTAGGTAGTACTCCGTAGATAGGTAGGGGATTACAATTTACAAGTCACCAGGTCCAGGTACCTTGGATATTAATAGGAATTATAGCGATGGCTAGACAGGTTTCCGTCCGTGCCTAAGGTCCATATGGAGCACTGTTGACTAGGTCCTTCTTCTACTATCCACGCCGTACCTACCCTACTTTAAATTCTGATGGGTGATGATTCGATGTTAAGAAATAACTATCTATCTATCAGTCCAGGCCTGGTAGTCATGTTTTTCTGATTTCCCGCCTCCCTCTTCTCCTTGTCCATCCACAATTTATTATTGTCCACTTCTCTGGCTGATTACTCCCCGTAGTCTCATTGTCTCTTTCAACCCCCTGTTGTCTATTTATTTGCTTTCCAGTTTTTGAGCACCCGCTCATTTCTCTCTGTCATCAGACCACACCATACCCTTCTGAATTCTAATCCGTCACTCAAAGAGCATAGTCATCGTCATCATTTTTTATTGCAAAGCCCGCGCAGCGACAATTGTCTGACTTTCAAACCATTATCCACTCCAAGAGCCCCGCTGGTGATTCATTTTGAGGGTCCTAGCCAGAGACGCTATCGATTTTCTACCAGAAACTTCCCTTCGCTCCTTTCGTGCGCTCGCAGTCAGCATTCTCCTTACCCCTTAATGTGTTCAGCCCGCCCACAACAGATTTTCTCTGACGGAGCATAGCCTCGTAACCGCTACGTCTTCATTCTTCGGCGTTTCCTCGACATAAGCCCCACCTGCATCGGAATCTGAGTCGTTTCGAAAGGCCCAGAATCGCGCCTCCACAATCACCCGTTGCCTTGTTTACGGAAAGCGAGGAGCAACCCAGGAGGATAATTGCTGAAACTGCCTTGTCTGCGGGACTTTCCGTCTAGACTTGTCGATTCCTGGTTGGGAATAAGTGGCCGACCTTCACAAGTCTGCGTGACCGACGGTCCATCTGTACAGATGCCAATTAAGCTCCCTAAGGGCTTTACGCGGCGGAAGTCGTCTGGAAATGCTCTTGAGGAGGTGGAGAATCCTCCTCCTCAGCCGTCCTTTCGAGTCTTTGAACGCCCGTCTGCGGACCGAAAATCCTTAAGTGAAGGGAATATTTTCTCAAAAAGAGCAACTGGAGGCCAAGTTCTGTACACTCCCACGGAAGAGGATGACAATATTTTCGCTGGATCTGAGAATTTACCACCAAAGCATCGGTACAGATAACCTTACCAGTCTTGGGCAGGTTAGTTGAAATATTATTGGCAGTGTTACTAACTTTGGGATTCAACTACACTAGGAGCAACCCCGGAGGATCATCAGAGAGTTCTTCGTCTATTCGATTCAGCTCGTCATCGGCGCCGCGCTCTTTGACAGACATACCAGTTCAATCCGACGCCCAATCGCCGCACTCTCGAAACCTCCACGACATACCCATTCCCCCTATATCTGGTGCACTACGCGCAGCGGGGAGAACCTTCTCTTTTGGGGGAAGACTCTCAAAGGCCTCGCCTTCAATCCCTCCCGCTCGACAGTCCACCCCTGGCCCGTCCAGGAACAGGGCGATGACGTCCAGTACAGCCAGCACCGCAACACCACCAAAGCTGTTAGACGATCTGAATGTTGGTCAGCTCGGGGATGAATTTAGAAGTATGTTTGATGACCTCGGGAAGCGGGATAGCGCACACATTCCGGAGTCCACATCTGCCGGGAACCCCTTGGACATGGTACGAACCACTCTGTTCGCTCTCTGCTCCTCGTCTTTCTCTAACCGGGTCAATGTTGATAACCTTTGGTAGTTACCATCCGCGCACCCTTCACCCGCGGCTTCGCGGAAGGAAGAAAAAGTATCGCGTCCGGCCCCCATCAATACGAATGTGTCCAAGGAAATAGAACCTTCCCCTTACTCCTGGGACAGTCGACACTCCGGAGAGGGCCTTCTCAACGCTATGCAATCCCCCGCGGAGGACTCCCCGATTAGTCAGTCAGGTGTGCCGAATTCTACCTCTATGTTGCCTGAAGGACGGCGGAAATCTCTTCCCTTGGCAACTGCTACGACTTCCCACCGTTCTCTGATCAAGCCTCGGACGGGAGGAGACAAAGGACTAAGGAGAAGCGTCGTCTACTCGACGAAACGGGATTCTACACCTATCGAAGATGAAGACGCTAAATTAATAATGGACTCCCTTCATTCAAGTAAAGGTGGGGTGCATTTTGCGTCGACGTCGGAGCATGAGGGCTCGGATCACGAGCATCACGCACCCCTCCTTTCTCACTCAAACACGTCCGCACTCATGAAGTCTCCGAGCCTTTCAACGTCACCCGCAGAAATACGACGTCAATCGCCTCCAGTGGGGGAGAGCCAACTCGACCCTTCCATTGCCGCGCACGCGCTACTGGCTGCTCAGTACGAGCAAAGCCAGCCGAAGCCCGGCACATCGACGAATAAAGTCATGACGCCTTCGCAATTTGAGCATTATCGGCAACAGCAAGAGCTCAGGAGATCGAACAGTGACGCTTCCAAGAGTGAAGACTCGGCCGAGGGCGATTTCGATGAAGACGACGAGGTAGAGAAGAACCGGGAAGCTGAAAGGCAGCGACGGAAGCAGGAAGCTCATCTATCTGTATATCGACAGCAGATGATGAAAGTCACAGGCCAACAGTCTCCCGCACCGTCCCTTCGACCGGAACTGGACCACGCCAGCAATAGTACGCCGAATCTAACGATTCATCCATCAAATTCTGGCAACAGATCGGGCAGCGGGAAGAGCAGCGAGGGTGACGAGGACKAGGACATCCCGTTGGGAATCCTTGCTGCACACGGTTTTCCAAATAGAAACCGCCCCCCCAGTCGCTTGGCACCTTCAAGTTCCATTCCGAATCTTCGGGCCTCGTTCCAGCAGCCTTACGTCCAATCTCCAGGCTCCGTCGCTGGCGACAATGATTTGACTAATCGCAGCAGCTTACCTGTCTTTGCTCGAAACCTCCCTCGGGACCCCTACTACGGGGCAAGCTTAGTCAATCCCCCGAACAGGGAGTCCTTGGCTTTTGGAGGTGGTGCGTCGGTGCATGGGGGCCCCTCTACTTCGGCTGCATTGCCTCCGGGTGGCTTGGTGGGCGTCATCGCCACGGAAGAGCGAGCAAGAGCGTTGAGACGAGGTAGTCCGAATACCCAAGCCGTATATGAGTTCCAGAACGGACTCGGAGCATCAGGGGCAGCCACCCCATCGGGCGGCATCCCGAGACCTTACACGATGATGGGTATGAATCCCCCGAGTATGAACCCCCCGAATCTTCAGGCGGGGCTCTCTGCTACAGAACACGCGCAGATACAATTGTCACAACAGATGTCCCAAATGATGCAGGTACAGATGCAATGGATGCAGCAAATGATTTCGATGCAAGGAGGGCAGACTCCGCCGCCGCAACCACTGATGTCACCCGCAGGTTTTCCGCCATCGTTGCCTGCCAATGCAAATTTGAGGCCTGCTTCCATGCCTACAGCAGGACCGTTCAGTCCGGCACCTCCTACCTTCAATGACCAAAGGACTCTAAGTATGCTGGACCCGAATGTCTCCTCTCGGCTCAATGGCCCGGCGATACCCTACCTTCCTGCTGGCAGCCGACCGGGCACACCGATTGGCCAAGGTTATGCACCGTCTATTGCGCCATCAGAACGTAGCAATGTCGGCATGGCACCTCGGTATCGGCCTGTATCGACGTTGCAGCCTGACCACGGATCTGCGGCCTATCCCTCGATGGCCAAACAATGGAATGACGAAAACCAGAGAACAGCTTCCCCAGCGGGACCGCTCGCCATGAAAAGTCCGTCGATGCCAACTGTGACCGTCCGTCCCGTCTCTACCGACGGAAGACCGCAATATGAAAGTAAGAACGCTGTGCTAGACGACGAGGATGAAGATGAAGGGTGGGCCGAATTGTTAAAGAAACGCGACAAGAAGAAAAGCAATTGGAGAATTAAGAAAGAAACGTCGAGTCTCGGAGACTTACTGAATGTGGCGCATTGATGATGCCCTTACTCGACGCTAGATTTTCGGTCTCGTCACGATACTTTCTGCGCGAGCAGACATATACGCATAGTCTATTACTTTGACTTACAATCCTGCCCTTGGCATCCCGGTGTTCTTATTATTTCATAGGGCCGAGATATCCAAAAAGCGGTTGGATGCTCCTTTCACTTTTGACTTTTGGACCCCCGTGTCCCTCGAATATTTATTGGCGGGTTTACGATACAGCATTAAAGATCGACACTGCATCATGACAACTTTTTTTTATCCATTTATTCGTTGTCTTTCTCCATCTTTGAGCAAGCTAGGGGTTTTCTTAAGGCTGGTGTTTTGAGGCAGCAATGGTATATGATCGCTATTCAGCAGAGGGGTGTGAATTCCTGTATCAAAGCAATCGGCAATGTATCTACTCTTGCATCTGTAATTGAATTCTAGTAATACACGGGGCATGGCGTTTTAGGGACCGCTGCTCCTAAACATCTGATTGCATTTCAATCGCATCTTTGATCCTCCTGTCAGTAAAGTATGGCTAACAATTCACTAGAGTCCTGGTCTTCGCAGTGCTTCAATCTACTCGAATTCCCCGAATTACATCTCTTGCTTCACACAAGGTGTTCTCCACGATTGTGGATGCAGGCAGGATTTCCCGCACCAGGCCGACACCAGTGCCAGCATACGTTGTAAGTCTTCCGTTGGGTCCCCAACCGGCATCGCCTTTCTTCAGCTCTTCTTCGTACAACCTCTTATTCTTCTCATCACTCATTCCCCGCTCCACAGCATCGACGTAACTCTGATTGATAATACCGCGCCCGTCGTATCGATTAGGCCAACCCCCGATACCCCTCACTCGATCATATACAGTCGACCTGATAGTGTTGAGACCACCATCAGATGCTCGCAAGATCTCCTTCTGATATCCGTGAGCTATATTCGCTTCTGCAGAAGCTAGGAAGCGAGTACCCATGGCAGCGCCGGCAGCCCCCAGTGCCAAAGCCGCGGCCAGTCCTCGTCCATCGACTATTCCTCCTGCAGCCATGATGGCTATGTGAGTTAAGTCTCGCTCCCGTAGAGCATCTTGGACCTCAGGTATCAAAGTCAAAACTGAGGCCGAATGAACTAGACCATGACCCCCTGCATCAGAACCTTGGACGACCAAAACATCTGGTCGAAGAACTTCGGCAACGGCGATCGCCTCCTTCACGGCACCCACTTGCACCCAGATCTTGGTCCGGCCAGAGGTCACGCCACGCACCTCGTTCGCCCAGCGCACTAGGTCGTCCGGTTGGTTCTTTGGACCAAATAGCCACACAGCGCATGGCGTGTACTTCTGGATAGCGGCAACAGAGACTTTGAGATCGGCCCCCCAGTTGATAAAGCCCACCCCGATGGGGAGCACACCGGTTTCTTCGTATACTTGCTGTGCCATACCGCCTGATTGCTTCACCAGACGGGTGGCAACTTCCAGGTTATGATCCAAGCTCGAAACATCGAATCCTGCAGCAAGAAACCCAAGCCCACCGGCGGAGGAGACAGATACTGCCAGCGGGGGCCCGGCAATGTTCAGCATTGGAGCTGAGGCCAGAAGGGGACTCTTTGCCCAAGGATAGGTTGATTTCAATACAGTTCTCAGAGACATGATCTGGATACTGTGAGATGTCTAGATCTCGGATTGCTTGAGCATAGTTTAGAGCAGTAGGTAACGATTCTTAAGAAATATAATGAGGATGCATGCCACTTTATATCAATGTAAGATATATACTCAGCAGCTTGCGCATCGTTTCCACCCGCCATCCCGATGCCGTCTCACATCACTCTGCGTTGTAATCCAATCAATAAACCGCTCACTCTTCCGCAAGGGAGAGACTACCCATCCAATTCAAGATACAGGGAATTGCTTGCATTGAGTCATTATTGGGTGGTAAGTCACTCGGATACGGTCGGGCCGCGGGGGACACTTGAGTGATAAATATCCGTAGTATCACGTGACAAAGATCACGAGACTTTTGAAGGCGGTAGATAATGAATGATTGAACCCGATAAAGCATTTTGATAGTAGAACTAAACTAGACAGACCTTCTTAATTGCTTCACTCTTCCATCAATATCTTCAGTTTGCTCACAGAAGCTCACAACCCTTAATACCTCGCCTTGCTGCATTGTACAAAGGATTCCTCCCTCTTATACTCGATCTATCAGGCTTGTAAGTTCACTGATGTCCTTCCAGGTTGTTGCCCTGAAGGGTGTGTCCTTAGGCATTCTTATTGGTTATTTGCTGATATCGTCTGGAAGATCAAACTACTCTTTCTGTCATTCTCTTTCCCTTTTTTTTTTGGATATTGAAGGCGAGTTTCGATCGAGATTTTCGAGGCGAACAGGGGATCTTACAAAGAATAGTTGCCTTTCTTGGTTTCATCTATTTCAATTCGTCAATCATCATTCCCGTCTGTTCCTCCTTGGGCCCCGGCTCTTCTGTCCTTGGGAATCGTGGGACTTGTGAGAACAAGTTTGAAACAGCCTCAACTTCACTTGTCATTCTGTCAAGATGAACGCGCCAGATCGGTAAGCAAGATCAAATGCACTGTCTATGAAAATCGCATCTTCATTTTGATGTCTTGGCTGCCTTCTTTATTCTTGTCCTGTCTCTTGTTAGGAGATCTGCCTCAGAAGTTGCAACAAAAAGTGATGGAGGGGTTGTCCCTTGCCTAAAGTGAAAATGGAGGATGTTGCCATCACTATGTGCGGACCTGGGACAGGGTTTCCAGCTGGGTGGTCTGCGCTCTCGGCGACGCAATCACCCACCTTCCTTATGCTCGTGCCTACCATCATCAACACAACTCCTGTTGACAACCGTTTCCCTCTTTACCTGATCGTGAACTGTTTGTCTTCCTTTGCTCACCACCCTATTGTTTCTACATCTTTGCCTCTGGTCTTGTCCCTTGAGAGGGTCCTGTCGCCATGAGTCCAAAGAAACCGTTCATGCTCCCCAACGAGATGGCATACGCTCGTTGGATACATGCTGCTGGTGGTTCCCGTACTAATAATGCTTGCCACTCCTCCATAAATTTGGACAATGACCAGCCGCGCAGGTGCTCACTCTTATCCTGTTCACGCGCCTCAAGATACTTTACAGAGTTCACGAGCACTGAGTATTCAAGCTGATACTGTGTATTTTCCTTTAGTTTCGAGTCTTTTGTTCTGTCTCCAGGAGAAGAGAAAGTCGAGGTTGAGACCGATACTCGTGAGTTCTTCCATCAAACTTTGCGGTGCAGATCAATGACGGTCGATCTAATGCATCTAGGCATTCCATCTTCCTCTATTTTCACTTTCAACAAAGAGGACCACACGCTCGGCAACCTCCTCCGCTCCCGTCTTCTGCAGAACTCTCATGTGATCTTTGCTGGTTACAAGGTATGTCCGCCTTAGAAGCCGTCTTTTCCCTCAAATTTATTTGAGATCTTAAGGGCTCTCCTTGTGAGCTCTGGGATGCTTGACTCTGACGAATTGTCTCAGGTCCCCCATCCTCTAGTTCCCAAGTTTGAACTCCGCGTCCAGACTGATGGTGAGGTCACTCCTAAGGATGCTCTGCTCGCCGCCTGTCATGACCTTGTCAAGGACCTGGGCATCCTTTCCCGCGAATTCACCAAAGAATACGAGCTGCGTAAGATGGTCGGAGCTACTCAGCAGCAGCAGAATGGTACTGCAGAAGGTGCTTAGATTACCGGCTGCGATACTGGCGAATCGGATCTGATTTGAATCTGCTTATTTTTCCTCGTCTGAATTTTGGCGCATCTGGTTTATGCGAATCACCTGTACATTAAATCGTGGCCATGTGCCATATTTTCCATGCATTGTCTTGTACGGGCTTGATGGTATCGCAAATTGCACGTTACGCGAGATGATGCTTTATGGGGTTGCTTAAAGTTTGGGCTCGGTTTTTGAAGGAGCCTCTACGCTACGAGTTCATCATGATAATGAGGGATGTTGATTGCTGTCTCTTAACGATAACGTCCAATTGAATGAATATTACGCAACGACAAGCAGCGATTCGAGGCTTTTACATCACCTAGAGGTTCAAGGCGGCAATTCAGATTGCATTTGTAATTGAAATATCTTCAAACTGTGATGGGCAAGCTACTGTGTTTGTACTTACTGTAGGGATATTTAGTTGACACTTTGGATCACGAGGGGTTGGAGCCTGGATTCCCGGAAATTGTGGCTCCACCCGCTCCCTTTCGGGCTAGCGCTGATATTGCCTCCGCGTGCCTGAATGTCCAGGCGTCACCACAGCCGCAGCTCCTCCTGAATCCCTCCTCCCATCTCTATCTTGCATCGTCTGGTTTCTTTCGTTCATCTGCTTCTCTGTCGTCAATTTTCTTGTTGCTTGATAGTGATTTGGTCTCTGCTTCTCAACCTGCACTACCTATCTTCCTTCGCACTTCTAATGCAAGCGCTGTAATGTACTCTTCGTCGAACTCCTTCTTGGGCGGCGTCAACAACGCCCGCCCAGGACAGCCGCCTTTAATGCAGCAGCCTCCATACTCGCAATTCCCTCAGGGTCAGCAACAAATACCACAGCAGACTGGCTTTCAACCACAACCCACCGGATATGGACCTCAATCGGCCTCTCACCTGCAGCCTCAGCCAACGGGATTCCCTAATGGACAACTGCAACCTCAGTTCACAGGCTTCCCTGGCGCTGCGCTTCAGCAGCAGCAGCTTGGCGGCTATCAGGCGTCCGCGCAACAGCCGCAGTACACAGGTTATCCTCCTCAAACTCAACCTCCGTCGCTTCAGGTGCCTTCGACCACCGGCCTGCCCACTCGACCTGCTCTTAGGACGTCTTCGGAGATAGCCAACTCGTTTAGCGATGGTGCTAGCGTGGCGCCTCCACCACCGCCCAAGTCTTCGGGGAGCAGAATTCCTAACATACGGCTATCGTTCATCACTGCGCAAGACCAGGCCAAGTTTGAGCAACTTTTCAAGTCCGCGGTGGGTGATAGT